CTCAAAAAAAAAAAAAAGATTGAGAAAAACAAGAGAGGCATTGCCCTCCGTGGCCCTGGATCTGTCTCTTGCGTCAAGTATTTAGAAGGAACACCCCTTCTTCCAGCCTCCGGTCACCCCCAATCTCTTTTCCAATCACCACCTTGTAGGAACCACCTCAGCCAGCCTCAGCCTCCAAGATCAGCCAACACCGGTTTTTTACCTTAAATAAACTCCTATGGCCAAACAACCACGAGCCCCCAAATCCGTCAGAATCATTCCACGGGGGTGGAGGCTGCGGTCACCCATCACCGCTGGCCGTCCGGCCTCTGCGGGCCTCCCGCACCTACCTCTCTCTGGACCTCCATTTCCACTGCGAGGATGTGACTCTCAGGGTGCGGGCCCAGAAGAAGCGAGGGCACCCATAGCATCTCTTACAGATGCAACCAGCGAGGGGCCGCGTGCTCTCCCAGGATGGGCCGGAGCCCTCCCCAGGTGGTGAGCAAAACTAGGGCCTCGTGGAAGCCGCCGTGGTCCCAGGGAACCAGAACCGGGCCCTTTGGACCTGCAGGCGCAGACCCTCAGCTCTGGGACCTCCTGCAGAACCACTTCCGGGTGAGCAGGTGAAACTCATCAAGAAGATGGGCCGCACCTGCCGCACCTCCGCAGGCTGCGGGCCCCCAGGCTGCGCTGGGCAGGCGTCTCCGGGAAAGGCTCCCCCTCCAGCAGGATGAGGAGCCTGTGGAGCCCAGAGGCCTCTGAGGGGCCCCTCTGCATCCCCCGGCGTCTGGCTTCTGCCTGAGCCTCTCCCCGAATCTACTAGCCATTCTTTTAATCACCCTGAAGCCCTCTCCCATGCATTGGACCAAATGGAAACAATTCAGCTTTTTTTCAGGAAAAAAAAAAGAGAGAGAAAAGAGAAGTAAAAATCTTGCCAATCATCTGCTATCATTTCTATTAAAAGAAGAAAAACAATTGGTATATATTTGCTTACATCTATAAATTCTTTCCGGAAAGAAACACTGGCTACTGCCCTGGCTGGTGTGGCTCAGTGGATAGAGCGTCAGCCTGCGGACTGAAGGGTCCTGGGTTCGATTCCGGTCAAGGGCACGTGCCCAGGCTGCGGGCTCAGTGCCCCATGGGGGGCATGCAGGAATGGCAGCCGATCAATGATTCTCTCTCAACATTGATGTTTCTGTCTCTCCCTCTCCGTTCCTCTCTGAAATAAATAAAAATACATTTTTTAATCG